TTTTTAAATACTTATTTCACAGTCCCAGTTGGTGAAAGATTTCCAAGAACTGCGGAAGACAGTAGAGGCTATGAACATGTTCGATGCCAACCTGGGGTTCTTCTTCCTTCACTTAGCCCAGATCTTGATTTTGGAAGTCCTGGCTTGGCTAACACTGTATCAGTTTGGCAGTGGCTGGCGTGTTACAATATTCGTCACCTTTCTTCTCATAATTTCTCAGGTAAGCAGATACCCCAAGGGCATGCAGTGTCCTCACAGGATGGCTCAGAGTTTTTTCTTCTCTCTGTAGGTTGACGTCAGCTGCTGTCTGAGGCTTCTTGGCCAGATACTCATCACTATCAGGCACTTACCAGCAAGTTGCTGAACTTCACAGGGCACCAGTTCTCTCATCTGTAAAATGAGGCTAATAATGAATATGGAATTTTTCTGAGGAGGACTAAACAAACTAATTGTAAAATACCCAGCACAGTGCCAGACTTATAGTAAATGTTTAAGTAATGACATTTGCTAGTTTGCCCCGTTTTATTCCCACAATTTCAGTAACTGAAGTTCCATCCTTGGCTGTGTAACACTCATCTTTACCCTTCATTCATTAAGCAACCAACATTTACCAATGTATCAGACCATTGATCATCCAAGGGCAGAGACTGTTATCTTATCATTATATATGAGAATAAGAACATATGAGTTCCTCTGTAAATGACAAACAATAACTGATACTTAGCAGGATATTTGATAAATCCTTCTGGAATGAAGCATGAATCTCTGAACATGGCCTTCTATGAACACAACACTGTGTTGTGCATACAAAGGGAAATTCACATGCTTCCTGCTCCCGAGAAAGGAGTCATCTGGTGGAGCAGAGAGTCACTCAAACAGCTAAACACACTGCAAGACAGGATGGTATTACTTTCAGTGAGGGGAACAAACATGTGCTCTTGAAGCAGAAAAGAACATTTAATTCTCATTAGAACAAATAGGGAAGGTTTTGTAGAGAATTAACAGCAATGTGTTTCCAAGTTCCAGAATTTTGCATGTTAATTCTTTTTATTGAAAAGCCAACTTGCTTTATTTTTTTGAAAAGTGACTTTTAGAAACAAGAAAAGAATCCAGTAGTTGTTTGGTCCTTAGCAGGAGCTGGGCACTTTGCACCTATGTAAGTTGCACAACAGCCCATGAGTCACAGGTATTAATACCCCCATTTATCAGATGAAGAGCTGAAGGTCAGAGCTACCAAGTGACGTGCCCAGAATCATGAAGCTCGATAGTGGTAAAGAACAGTTTAGAATCCAAATCTGTCTCATTCCAAAGCCCATGTTCTTCCCACTCCGTACTGGAAGATTTCGACAGTGGGAAGGGGAGCATTCCAGGCCAAGCCACGGAGGTTAGAAATAGCAGGACATGGTGGAAAATAGAAACTTGTCTTGAAGTCAAAAGCAATCACCCAGTATTTTCAAACGGGCTCATGAATCTACTATGGGGTTCATTTATTGATTTATTCTGGAGTTCCCAACCACTCTAACAATCAGTTTCGTGTCTCCTAGGCTCAGAGTGGATTTTTGCAGCATGACGCGGGGCACCTTTCCATATTTAAGAAGTCCAAGTGGAACCATCTGTTACACAAATTTTTGATGTGCCATCTCAAGGTAAAAGATGTCAGGGAGTATGATGGGGATTCTTGAATGTCATTTCCTCAGGCACTGGCTTCCATGTTTGTTTGACTGTGCATTCACATCAGTAAAAAGTGTTTATCATACCCCACTAATAAATGTAAATATACTAACAGTGTAGATAATATATATAAC